CTTGTTTAGATTAAAAGTTACATGTACTTTATATTTATAATAAAGAAAAAGAAAAGTATGTAAGCAATGAACATAGAGTTGAGTACTTAATACATACCACAAAATTGTATCAAATAAACACAAAATACACTACAGTCTGCTTGAATTCCTTTTGTTTAAAGCACAATCACAAGAATAATGATTGTTCATTATTATATGTTTGTATTAAGGAAATGAAGCTGATAATAATAAAGGAAGAATGACAAGCACTTGCTTTCTGAATCACTATCATATAACAAATATATCTTAACACAACCTGCAGAGTGTTTTCAAGATTAGATGCATAACTCTGAACCGATTATTATTATTGTTGGATATTTGGATATCTAATTAGAAAAGATACAAAAATTTGACTGGTGCAAAAAATGGACCTCAAAAAATCCACTTTTCATAACAAATATGTTCTCTCAAAAATTACTGTTGAACAGGATTTGATAAGTGGGGGAAACATTTGAACAAAAATTAATTTATTTGAAAATGTCGAAAAATACGAAACCATTGGGAACACGTTAAAATCTAGATAATGGCCCCCATCCCCGAAGGTGGGGTGGGGGTGGGGGATCGAAAGAGGATGTCTCCCCCACCACTGCACCACAAAAAGTTCGAGGCGGTCTCACCCCCATAAAAAGTTATGGGGGTGGAGGTAGAGGGGGGATCGAAAGAGGGTGGTCACCTGAGTAAAACCCCATAAATGTGTGGCGTTCTCACCCCCATAAAACGTTATGGGGGGTGAAAGTTCATTATTTTGACAATATTCATCCAGTATAATTCAAATAAAATTCATCGGATTTTCAACTACGACGAATCTGGTATCTCAACTGTGCTGAGCACACCAAAAATTTTTGCTGAGAAGAGTCAAAAACAGGTTGGTCAAATAGTGTCTGCCGAAAGAGGAGAACTGGTCACATTTGGTGGTATTATATCAGCAAGTGGAAACACCATTCCGCCCTTATTCATCTTCCCTCGAGTACATTTTAAGGACCACTTCATAGAAGGTGCTCCAGAAGGCTCTTTGGGTGTAGCCACGAGAAGTGGTTGGATAAAATCGAGCATTTTTGTTGATGTTCTAAAGCATATCCAGAAACATACGTTATGTTCGAAAGAAAATCCAATATTACTTTTATGTGACAATCATGAAAGTCACATTTCTATTGATGGAATCCACTACTGTCGTGACAATGGGATTGTATGCCTTTCATTTCCACCACACACGACTCATCGTCTTCAACCATTAGATGTTGGCGTATTTGGACCATTAAAGTCGAAATTAAAAACGGCATTTAATGACTGGCACGTTTCCAACCCAGGAAAGACACTAAATATTTATAACATCCCAAAACTTACAAAGATACCTTATTTGGAATCTTTCACTGGTAGAAATATTACCACTGCTTATGAAAAAACTGGAATATGGCCTTTCAATAAGTTGATATTCAATGATGATGATTTTGCGCCTGTTCAGGTGTATCATTCAAAACCTGTAACAAATCCCAATGAAAGCACAGGTGGTGATGAGCTTGCAATAGGTGGTGATAAGCTTGCTACAGTTGGTTCTGAACCGGGTGATGTTTCTGTTCGAACACCTCCGACTTTGTCCAGAGATGTCTCAATGCTTTCACAACATATTGCATCAACAGTGATAGATCCTGATAACCCTGCACCATCTACTTCCAAAGTATTGAAGACGCCAGAAATGATAAGACCTTTGCCGAAAGTTCAAAGACGCACACAAACAAAAAAAGGTCGATCACTTGGAAAATCGAGAATTTACACGGACACACCCGAGAAGAATAGAATTGAAGAATTGGAAAAAATCAAA